GGTTACCAAAGACTCTTATTCTAAGGAAATAACTAATCTTTGGTTGCCATTTTCTCACTAATTTTACCTCTGAAACCAGGTGACCCCACCTCCTTCAAATGCTAATATCTCGACTTCTATTTAATAAAGTTGAATATTTCTTATACCAAATGGAAAGCAAATGAACAAGCTTTAAGATGACACCATATGCCCAAAAATTGACAAGTGCCTGATTCCACCACGTCGTGCCACATATACGGTCGCTTTTAAGGACAAGCGGGCTAACCCAGATTTAGGGGGTTTCCAGAAATCTTGACCTAAACCAAAAGTGGGCATTGCCCTACCCATAGGAGAAGTTTGGTTTTATAGGTGTGTAGATCTATATTTGTCTGGTTATAGAGAAAACTCTCCTTATCTTTCAAAGAAACTGAATAAGGAGTAAAAACTTTACCTTAGATTTTTCTCAAAACAGCATTTTTCGGGATAGCCCCCTTGTGCTTGAAAGCGACCAATTATCCCCATACGGGAATCGAATTCGAATCGGGTCTTGTCTTCTGCGAGCCTCGATGAGGTGCCTAACCCCTACACCACTAACACCGATTCTATAGATAGACCTTTGCAGGGGGCTCTCGTGCCCTAGAGGTTACAGTGTTGGCCCCTCATGCAAAAGGTCCCGGGTTCGAATCCGGGTAGAGACCGAAAAATTTTCTTCTCTAAATTTGTCTCCTTTCACCTCATTTCCTACTCTCTAGCAATGTTCTATCGTCTGCTTTCGTCTCCTCTTTCTGCCCCCATCCCCTCACCTCCTTTGCCTCTTCCTCTGGGCTCCTGATTCTTTCTGCAGCCTTTCTAATGCTACTCCTTCGCTTCTTCTTACTGCTGTCTTTCAGCCACACCCCTGATCTTCTGGTAGGAAAGATCTACACCTCGCCTTCTCGGACAAGGGCGAAAAATCTCGGGGGTCCCGTATGCAAGTTGTGACGTTAAAGATCCCTTGGTGGTCTAAAATCGATAAGAGTAGGCTTCGGCCGCCACCCGGGCAAAATTCAAAATTTCCTACTAACTTGAAATATTAGGTGTGTCCCGCGCGCTCATATGACCTTATGCAGTTGCGAGCGCCGTAAAACACTTTACAAAAACAAACAAGACCTTTGCATCAACCCTAAAAGCATGACATGGAAATGTCAAGAGACAATCATATGTGAGGCAGCGTGGTGGAATCAGGCTCTCGTCAATTTTTGGGCATGTAGAGTTATTGGTATCATCTTAAAGCTTGTTCATTTGTCTTTATTTGGAAGAAAAAATATCCGTTTATCTTGAATACAAGTCGAGATATTCGAGAATGAAGGAGGTGGGGGTCACCTGTTTTCAGAGGTAAAATTATTGAGAAAATGGCCGCCAAAGATTAGTTATTTCCTTAGCTTAAGTGTCCATGATAACTGAAAGTTTACATCTTTCGTGCCTTTAATCAACGATTTTCAGAAAAATCCACACAGAAATGAGTTCTTTAATGGGCATGAAAGGTGTTGAACCAAAAAACAAAAATACGATAAAAATGCACAAACCTGTGGAAAAATGCAAGTTTCTTAAAATTGATTATTTTGACGAGAGCCTGATTCCCCCACGGTGCCTCACATATGTGAATCGTGCTGTAAAAATGAGTTACATGTCAGATTTGAGTCATATAGAAGTAGAGATATATCACGCTCATAGGTGAAGTTTTTACAATTTATAAGCATGAAATATAAAAGGCACATTATACTTAAAGATGATATGGCATTAATAGAAAATCTACAAATTTGACCCTAAAGTCGATTTTTCGTCACTATCTTCATTTGTGGATTTGTGAGAAATAACTCATTTTGCAAGCACACCTCGCATATATTATGTGTCCGTTTGTGCTTGAAATACTTTGAATTTTTTTCTTCGATGTTGACTTCCCTGGAGTGGGAAAATTCCAAGGATTTGTATTACAATATGTGAGGAATTGTGGTGAAATCAGGCGAAAGTCAAAATAATGAAAGCGAAGAAACAGACATCTTTCTTCCAGTTTGGTAATTTTATTGAATTAATCTAAGTGAAATTTCTCAACCAACCAGTATCGAGCATGAAAGAATCGAGTACAGGTTGGGCCAGGCAATATGTTCGCTCATTTGACCTCGCAAAAAATACTAAGCCACGAGGTTTGCTCACGTGCATTAGAGCCTCGAGAGCTATCACCACTCGTGGAGTGTGTACACTCACGTAAACCCTTGAGAATTCGTGTCACGACGCGGTGAAATCAGGCGCTCGTCAATTTTCAGGCCTGTAGAGTTATTGGTATCATCTTAAAACCAGTTCATTTACCTTCCTTTTTGTGAAAATACTATCCATCTATGTTTAATAGAAGTTGAAATATTTGTGACAGAAGGGGGTCTGGGTTGTCTGATTTCAGAGTTAAAATAAGCGAGAAAATGGCAGCCAAAGTTTGATAACTTCCGCAGCCTGAGACTCCTTGGAAACTGAAAGTTTATATTTTTCGTGCCTTTAATTAATCAATGTTTTTCAGTAAAATCCACTCCCAAATGTGTTTTTAAATGTGCATAAAAAAGTGTTGAGCCAGAAAAAGAAAGTTAGAAACAAGATTTTCATCGCCCACCCCCCCCCCCCCCCCCCCACCCCCAAATGTCGATTTCTTTAATGTCATCCGATTTCAACCCGATGCCGCACATTTATGCTGTTGTGTGTGCTGTGTCATCATGGTGCTCAGACGACCACTTGAAGATGCTAGAGATGCCACTTTTACAAGCGCATTTAAGATTGATGTTAATTAGGAACGATGTTTTCAGAGCTCTTGGGGTACGGCACTGGTGAGCAGATATTCGATAAGCATGGTTCTTCAATGGAAACAAAAAGATGGCGTGTTGCTGATAGCAGGAATTCTGTACAAACAGGTGGCAAGCTGCCCTAAATGTGAGGCAGCGTGGTGGAATCAGGCTCTCGTCAATTTTTGGGCATGTAGAGTTATTGGTATCATCTTAAAGCTTGTTCACTTGTCTTTATTTGGATGAAAAATATATCCATTTGTCTTGAATACAAGTCGAGATATTTGTGAAAGAAGGGGGTGGGGATAACATGTTTTCAGAGGTAAAATTAGTGAGAAAATGGCCGCCAAAGAGTAGTTATTTCCTTAGCTTAAGAGTCTGTGATAACTGAAAATTAACATTTTTTGTGCCTTTAATCAACTTTTTCCAGAAAAATCCGCTCAGAAATGAGTTCTTTAATTGGGCATGAAAGGTGTTGAGCCGAAAAACAAAAATTTGATAAAAATTCACTAACCTGCGGGAAAATGCAAGTTTCTTCACTTTGATTATTTTGACGAGAGCCTGATTCCACCACGCTGCCTCACAAATGTATTAAACCCAGTTAGTAAAATGTTACAGTAAAGGAAAAAAAACTGTTTCATTATTTTAACAACGTGTGCACAATACGTTTTTATTCTGGTTGTCTTTTTTTTCTTTCAATATTTAGAATTTAAATTTTAACAAAATATTTCTTGAGCACATGCAATCGATATTACAGTTTCAAATGCGGCAATTTAAACGATTTTTTTAAAATGTTGGGTATGCAATATAGACACAGGTGGCTTACGAAATATCAAACAAGTAGAAAACCTTTAATGGAGTTTATTAACACTCCTATTGTAAACAAGTAGAAATTCTTAAATGGAGTTTATATACACCCTTATAGCAAGTAATTAGAAAGTCTTTGATAAAGTTTATATACACTCTTATAGCAAGAGAGTAGAACGTCTTTAATGGAGTTTATATACACTCCAAGAGCAAGCGAGTAGAAAGTCTTTGACGGAGTTTATATACACTCCTATAGCAAGTAAATAGGATAAATAGAAAGTCTTTGACTGAGTTTATATACACTCCTATAGCAAGTAAATAGGATAAATAGAAAGTCTTTGACTGAGTTTATATACACTCTTATAGCAAGTAATAAGTCTTTGATTGAGTTAATATACACTCCTATAGCAGGGAAGTAATAAGTCTTTGATTGAGTTAATATACACTCCTATAGCAGGGAAGTAATAAGTCTTTGATGAAGTTTATAAACAAGTAAAAAGCCTTTAATGGAGCTTGTAAACCCTCCTGTAGAAAGCAAGTAGAAAGCCTTTAATGGAGCTTGTAAACCCTTCTGTAGCAAGCAAGTAGAAAGCCTTTAATAGGGTATGAAGCCTTTCATTGAGGTTATAAACACTCCTCTAAAAGACGTCTCGTTATTCCAGGAGAACAATGTATATATGTGAGGCGCGCTGACAAAATGAGTTACTTCTCACAATCCACAAATACAGAATGATATTGGCCAAAAATCGACACTATGGACACAGTTTTATGTTTTCTATTGATGTGATATTCATTGAGTACTAAATGCCTTTTATTATTTCATACTTATAAATTGTGAACCCATAAGCATGATAATGTATCTATTTTCATAGGGGTCAAATCCGAGAAGTAACTCATTTTGTCAGCACGCTTCATATTTGGATTTGTCGGTCTCACCAATTCGGGCTCGCAGAGTGATCCTAACATTTCTCTCCTGACTTTACTTACGTTTTTACTTTATTTTTTTTTCTTCCGCTTGTGCCGGTGGGTGTCGCCGGGAGACACGGGCGTCTGTCTGCAGCAAGGCGAGTGGCCTGTAGGAGGGACATCCCGTGAGCTCTGAGGGTGTCTGCCACAGATTCAATCAACCGTCGCCTTGGTCTTCCTCTGGCTCTCCATCCAGAATATTATTTAGAGTTGTATAACTCTGCTGACGGCGATGGCGAAAGTCCGGCTGTCCTTCCCAGATGTTGCCCTTCCTGGCCAGATCGTACCACCCTCCCGGCGCCCAACGGAAACAGCCCTGGCGTCGGGCACACGGCTTTGAAGGTGACCTTCTCGGTGATGGTTTGAGCCGATATGCTCAATGGTTGGTAGAGGTAGCAGCCATTGTTCCACTTGGGACTGGAGACCTTCACTGCTTTCTTGACGTTAGTAATTGAAAACGTTTGGCTGAGCTTTCTCTTCATCTGCAGCGCTCAGAGCGAAGATCTCAAGCTTGTAGTGAGCCCTGTCGGAGAAGCTGATGAGGAAACTGAGCGCGCCGTCTTTTTTCTGGGAGAAGACAAACTCGGAGCAATCCTTCTCGTCCTTGGTTCTTGTGAGGACTGTCGTAACCCGTGGAGACAGAGACAGGGAGATTGGTGGTTGGCGGGTGCTCTGGTGTGGTTTGCTTTTTCTTTCCTATCTAACAACTATCGTCCTAATCTCCCCTTTTTCTTTTTAAGTTTGTAACAGCTCTGATCTTCTGGAGCTCATATTATGACCTTATGCAGTTGCGAGCGTTGTAAAACCTCCACTAAAACTAAACTAAAGAGACAGGGGGTTAATTGTTTTGCCTAACAGTGTGTGTTACAACCATGCTTAACAGTGGGGAAGAATAAGTCAAGGCCAGTAAAGGAAAACATGCAGGTGAAGAAATGGAAATGGATTAGGCACTCCCTGTGGAAACCCCCGACAAGCGTCATCAGACAGGCTTTGACGTGGAATCCACAAGGAGAACGTGAGAAAGGAAGACCAAAGATGACATGGAGGCGAGCGGTGCAAGCGGAAATGGAAAAGGCGGGGACATCATGGAAACAGCAAGAAAGGGAGGCACAGGACAGGCTTGGCTGGAGAAATCTTGTTGATGGCATATTATGCTCAATTGGGGGTTAAAAGGGGCAGGAGAGATGTGTTACAAAGCGGTGGATTCAGGCACTCGTCAATTTCTTGGCTTTTGGATTTATCTGGATAAACTAAAAATCTTGTCATGTGCCTTGCTTTTGATAGAAAATACCCATCCATCTTGAATAGAAGTCGAGGTATTTGCGATTGAAAGAGCAACGGACAGTCAGTTCTTTTTGCTTGACAATATGAGTTACAACTCGGTGGATTCAGGCACTCGTCAATTTTGGGTATTTGGATATACTTTTATAAACTTAGAATCTGTTCATTTGCCTTGCTTTTGATGGAAAATATGCATCTTTCTTGAATTGAAGTCGAGATATTTGCGATTGAAGAAGACGTAGGTTGCCTGACGTCAGAGGTTAAAGTAGCGAGAAAATGGCCGCCACAGTTTGATGATGGACTGGACATACTCTCAGGAAGTCAGGCAGCTGCATAACAAAGAAAGTTTTGGATTGGAACCCACAGGGCAAGAGATCAAGGGGAAGACCTCGTGGAACCTGGAGAAGAATCACAGAAATCGATGTACAGAAAAGTGGGAAGACATGGAATAACATCAAGAGGTTAGCCCAGGATAGAGAAAGTGGAAGGTGTTTGTCCGTGGCCTATACCCTGGTGCAGGGTGAGAAAGGCAATGATGATGATGACAGTTTGATGACTTTAAAAAGCTGCAGTGTCCTAGCGTCCTTGAAACTACGAAACTTTTTTTTCAAATGTGATGCATGTGGTCAACGTTTTCAGTGAAAATCCATGCTGGAATGTATTTTTAATTGGACATAAAAATATTGAGTCCAAATAAAAACAATAAAACTGCCTAACTGGCTAAAAAGAAATGGAGATTTCTTCGATTTCATCACTTTGACTTCATCACTGCGAAATTTCTAAGATCAACGTGACGCACGCTCGATATGATCTTACATTTTACAACACCTTTTGTTGGAGTGGGTGGGTGGGACGGGTTGGGAGGGGAGGACTGGGGGGGAGTGTGGATAGAATACGCCCGACAGATATCTAGGACTGGGTCAAACAGCTGGGTTCCTTTTTGCATTTTTTACGGAACGAGGAGGAAAACAAGATTGAGTGTATCAGTTTATTTTGACATTCTTAACGCTAAACCATCCGTGTGGGTGGTTGGCCGGTGCTCTGATGTGGTTTGCTTCTTCTTTCCTATCAAACATCTGTCGTTTTTATCTCCCTTCCTTCCTTTTTGTGTTTGTTGTTCTCTTGTAACACCTCTAATCTTCGGCACTTATATGACCTTATTGTGTTGCAAGTGCCGTAAAACATTTACTAAAACAAACAAACCATCCGTGTCCCTTTTTCTATGAAAATCTATGCTGGAATATATTTTTAAGTCGACATAACAGGTATCGAGTCCTAATTATGAAAACAAACAAAAAATACACAAATGGCAGGCAGGAAAAAAAGGGAATATCTTCGATTCCATTTCCTTGACGACCATCTGATAATTTCTCCACGATAACTCACGTAATCCATGCATGTGCAAAAGAGGGCAAAGTTAGTTTAGTATTAGTAAGAGTTTTACGGCACTTGCAACACAATAAAGTCATATGAGCGCCAGAAGATTTGAGGTGTTACATGAGAGTAACAAACATTAAAAAGAAGGAGGGGAGATAATAACTATAGATGTTTGAGAGGAAAGAAGAAGCAAAACACACTAGAGCACCCGTCAATCACCCACGATATGATCTTACATTTTCGAACACCTTTTGGGGGACTGGGAGGGGCGGGGGGGGCGGGGGGACTGGGGAAAGTGTGGATAGAATACACCCACCGATACCTAGGACTGGATCAGACAGCGTTGCTGGGTTCCTTTTCGCTTTTTAATGAAAAGAGAGGTTCTGTTTTTGTAAAGTGTTTTACGGTGCTCGCAACTGCATAAGGTCATATGAGCGCGCGGGACACACCTAATATTTTCAGTTGGTTGGAAATTTTGAATTTTACCCGGGTGGCGGCCGAAGCCTACTTTTATCGATTTTAGACCACCAAGGGATCTTTAACGTACGCAACTTGCACACTGGCCCTCCGAGATTTTTTCGCCCTTGTCCAAGAAGGCTAGGTGTGGATCTTTCATACCAGAAGATCAGGGGTTTGGCTGAAAGACAGCAGTAAGAAGAAGCGAAGGAGTAGCAGTAGAAAGGCTGCAGAAAGAATCAGGAGCCCAGAGGAAGGGGCAAAGGAGGTGAAGGGGTGGGGCAGAAAGAGGAGACGAAAGCAGACGACAGAACATTGCTAGAGAGCAGGAAATGAGGTGAAAGGAGACAATTTTAGAGAAGAACATAATTTGGTCTCTACCCGGATTCGAACCCGGGACCTTTTGCATGAGAGGCCAACACCTTAACCTCTAGGCCACGAGAGCCCCCTGAAAAGAGAGGGGAAAACTTGATTGAAAACGTCAGTGATTTTGACATTCTTAATGCTAAACCATCTGTTTCGCTTTTTCTAGCTGCCATTTACGCATGTATTAATAATAACAATAATATTATGTTTTCTCACGCGTGTGTTTTTTGGGGCATAAAGTGTGTTGCCATTTCATAATTGCAAGAGAACGATTTCTCTGTTATTCTTTCTCTCTCTCTCTCTCTCTCTCTCTCTCTCTCTCTCTCTCTCTCTCTCTCTCTCTCTCTCTCTCTCTCCTTTCTCTCTCTCTCTCCTCTCCTCTCTCTCTCTCCTCTCTCCCTCTCCCTCTCTCCCCCAAACTCCCCCCTGAAAACAGCAAATGTAAGCAGTTGTCTGTCTGAATCGCCCACACCCCCTTTCCATACAGAGTGCAAAAAACGACAAAATTTAAATACCGACTCATGTATCACGACGTGATGGAATCAGGTGCTCGTCATTTTTTAATTTTTTTTTTGGCATATGGAGTTATTGGTATCATCTTAAAATTTGTTCAGTTGTCTTGCTATCGTTGAAAAAAAATCTTGAATAAAAGTCAAGAGATTTGTGATTGAAAGAGGTGTGGGTCGCCTGGTTTCAGAGCAAAATTAGCGAGAAGATGGCCTCCAAAGTTTGGTGATATCAATATCTTGAGATTTTTTGAAAACTGAAAATTACATAATTATTTTGTGCCTTTAATCAACCCCTTTCAGTAAAATGTACACGGAAATGCGTTCTTAAATGGATATAGAATGTGTTGGCCCCAAAAAAGAAACTTTGAAAAATATTGCCAAACTGCAGGAAAAAATGCTTGCTTCTTCAATTTCAATATTTTGACGAGAGCGTGATTTCACCACGATGCCTCACATTAATTATCATTTTGTCGGCTATAATGGCTTCATAATTCTAAAACTAAAATTATGTCAACGTGACACGCGCACACACACACACACATACACACACACACACACACACACACACACACACACACACACACACACACACACACACACACACACACACACACAAACACACACACACACACACACACACACAACACTTCATATTTTTGCTCTTATATTATAGATTGTTTCATTATTTTTATTTTATTTTTTTTTTTTATTTCTCACAAGCTAATTTTTATTTTTGTTCATGCATGTACTTATTTCATTTTATTTTTTATTTCAATTTATTTCATTTTTATTTTTAAAGTTGTTCTTTTTTGGGGAGGAGAGGGTGGTGGTTGGGTGGGGAAAGTGCAGCCCTGCAGAACACATAATTATAATCTCAAAGTCATTGGCTCGATCGCAATTTAATGCATGGCATCTGCTTAAATGAAATGGTAGTTTCTGCTTCCCTTGGCTATGAAACCTACTCTGGCTTCTTTTCCTTGTCCTTTCCGTACCCCCTTGAGATCTTCAGCGATAGGGTCTCCCTTTTCTTTTTTGTTTTAAAAAAAAATGATTTACGGCGCTCGCAACTGCATAAGGTCATATGAGTGCGCGGTTCCCATTAAACATTAAATTTTCAGCTGGTAGTTTTAGTTTTAGTGAGAGTTTAACGGCACTTGCAACACAATAAGGTCATATAAGAGCCGAAGATTAGAGGTGTTACAAGAGAGTACCAAACACAAAAAAGAAGGAGGAGAGATCAGGAAGATGTTTGATAGGAAAGAAAGAGCAAACCACACCAGAGCACCCACCAACCACCCACTCAGCTGGTAGCAAATTTTGAATTTGGCGTGGGTGGTGGCCGAAGCCTACTCGTATTGATTTTGGACCACCACGGGATCTTTAAAGTGCGCAACTTGCACACAGGACCTCCAAGATTTTTCACCTTTGTCCGAGAAGGCTAGGTTTAGATCTTTCCTACCATAAGATCGGGGGTGTGGCTGAAAGACAGCAGTAAGGAGGAGCCAAGGACTAGTAGTAGAAAGGCTGCAGAAAGAGTGAGGAAGCCCAAAGGAGAGGGCAAAGAAGGTGAGGGGGTGGGGGCAGAAAAGGAAGACAAAAGCAGACGACAGAACATTGTTAAAGAGCAGGAAAGGAGGTGAAAAGAGAAAATTCTAGAGAAAAAAAATTCCCGTCGCTACCCGGATTCGAACCCGGGACCAATTGAATGAGAGGTGAACACCGTAACCTCTAGACCACGAGAGCCCCTTAGCATCTCCTTTTTACATCGCCACGACTGGGGTTGTGAATGTGAAATGAAAATGTGAAATGGTATGGGTTTAAGGTTATTTAAGAGGCGGGGCCTAGTCTTTCTCTCTCTCTCTCTCTCTCTCTCTCTCTCTCTCTCTCTCTCTCTCTCTCTGTCATTATATCAAATCTGAACAAAAGGAACCACAGAGGGGTAGCATTTTCATGAACAAGATTCTCAATAGAAGTTACAATGCGTTGATTTGTTTGTTTGTTTTTATTTCTCTACTGTTTGCCTTTTGTGCTTCTCTTTAGTTTTAGTAGAGTTTTTTTACGGCGCTAGCAACTGCATAATGTCATATCAGTGCCAAGGGGTGGATGTCGACAGAGAAGTCCTCACAGGGAATCAGGCTTACTCTGCTCACCTCTCTAGCTTCAACAGCACAAGGTCTGCTTCGGCTATCAAGGCACCCGGGAAAAAGCGGGTCACAAGAGAGGGGAAAACATACAAAAGAAGTAGAGGAAAAATGACAATAGTAAGGATGAAGAAATAAAAAGCAGCAGTTCCCCTAATGTTGTTTCGGCACAGACAGGAGCATGGTATTGATGAATCAGCCCATTTACAATTCTACCTTGCTTAAGAACATGTTATTATCCCCCCTTTGGGAATGGCGTAAAGACAACTTCCGTCAGTAGCACAGCCCTGGGGAGTGGTGCTTCTCTACCAATGTCCCCCATGCTTTGCACAGCAGTTTGTATCAATTTGTCTCAACCTAATCATATTTTTACACAACAATTGAAAAAAACACTTTTCTTCATAAACTTATCTAAAATACTACAAGTGTCCTTCACGTGGAAAATGGAATTGTTCACAGCACTTCCCGCTTTCAACACACACTTTGCGTAGGCTTACGTTACAGCTCACCAATGATACTTTTAGAGGCAAAACTGGTCACAAGAAATTTATTTTCTAGTGAACGCATTCATGGTGAGCACGCTTCGCTACGCAGTTTTATTTGTTTTTTGTTTGTTCGTTTGTTTGTTTTTGCTTGTTTGTTTGTTTGACTTATGGAAATACAAAGCATCGGCCACGACAATGCACGACCTGTACTGATATAGATCTAATTCAAGGCAGGCGCTCTCGTAGTCCTGATGTACGGTCTTTGCGACTTATTTAAAAGATCTCGGGACCGAAAAACCTGACGACGAAGAATAAGATTTTTCTACTCTAAAATGTTCTCTTTTCTCCTTCTTTCTTTTTCTGTACTGCTATTCTGTCATTTGCTTTCAGCTCCACCTTCTTCCTCACCCCCCCCCCTCCTTGACCTCCTTTCCTTCACTGTAGTGTGCCTGTTCCTACCCCAACCACTACTCCCATAATACATGTATATTATGTTCTTTACATACAATCCCTGTTTTCTCCTCTTTGATTCCCCCAACCACTTTTTCCTCTGTCGTGCCCCCCCCCTCCCACATTACGTACCAATGCTCTTTGTGGCTTTGTTATGTTGTTGTTGTTGTTGTTGTTGTTGTTGTTGTTGTTGTTGTTGTTGATGATGATGATGATGATGATGGTGATGATGATGATGATGATGATGATGATGATGTGATTTTTAAAAAATTGGAAACATTACCAGGTCTTAACTGTTTTAATATCTGCTTTATACAATGATGATGATGATGATGATGATGATGATGATGATGATGATGATGATGATGATGATGATGATGATGT